GAACATACCACTGTAATGGATTTATGAGAATTTTCCAATATATCAGTGACGTCAATATCCGAATCACCATCAGAACATTCCGCAGTATCCCTTTCGTCTAGGTATGGGTCATCGTTCGTTTCAGTGTTTGCCACTTTCTAAATTGATTATATTATACTCAAACAAGTCATTATGAGCTCAGCGCTCACGCACTTCATCCATCATTTTGTTTCCGCTTTTCCCTTCACATGGTATTCCGGGCATAATCTCAATGCTCCTTATTATGGGTACTGTGTCTAGACGCTCTAGGGGAGGTGGAACAAACGAAGCACATGTTCGGGATTCAGAGGCTGTGCTTGGACGTACTGTAATGGTAGCATACAAACAGCAAATATAGTGACCGTTAATCGGTAATACCTTTTCCATCGATATGTTTCTCCTTCCCCATGGTAAATATATTTCGAAGGGTTGGTCGTGGCCTGGAGGTTAAGACTCGGATGTTGCTGCTTATTGCTGGCCCCCACACCGTCCTCTCACCATTCCTTCCTTTTGGAGAGTCTTTAGAAGCCTGTGGTTCCTCACCTCCTTCATCTGAACATCTTCGTAAAAATAATAGGAGAGCAACAGGTGTATCGAATTACAAAGCACAATTTTAAGGAATAGTGTGCTTTTTGTAGCTAGATGGCGAAGACTTAGAATTTTAGACTTGTCTGAAAAGTTGTTTAATAGGATCATTTGACATCCCGATCATGAATATCCATTTCGCACAGTACGATGGACTTTAGGATTGCGTGGGTTGGTAAAAGATGAAAATTACAAAATTTACCTAAAAGCTCGATATTGGGGGTATCCGAAATGAGACTGTAGAGTTAGAGTAAGTATATCGTAGGAGTTTGACAATGTGGACTCTCAGAATTTGCTGGGAGGATTTTTTCTCACACTGATCACGAATACGTTTCTCGCTTCGGTAGGGTTGCAAAGGAATTAATGTGGAAAATAAGTCCGCTGTAGTTTATGCATGGTTGATCCTCGATGTTGCCACAGCTATGGAGCTTAATAATACACCTTTCGTCATGGTTCAGTTTTCGCACTTTCTTACATAAGGTCTACCATGCAAGTTAATTGTCTTCCGTAATCTTAATTTGAAGCATCGCTCTTTTCTCCTAAAAC